GTGNGAGAGAGAGAGAGAGAAAGAGAGAGAGGGAGCGCAAGCAAGCATCAGGCCGGATGGTGTTGTGTTGCTCTGGTGTAAAGAAATCAAGTCCCCCCGGGCGCATTTTTAAAAGCCTAATGCCTTTCAAATGATGTCATCACGTTTTACTCTTTCTCTCTTTCCCCTACCACCCTCCCTCTCACCCAATCTCTCTTAATATCTTTCCCCCTTTCAAACTGTTTCTGCCCCCCACCCCACCAACCCACACACACACACACACACACACACAAGCGTGCAAGCACAAACACGCACACACTCTCCACAATCAGTTATTTGGCTACAGGGAGAGGCCGATGGGCTTCGACAGGAGTCACGTGACACATTAGAATAATGGCCAAGCAAAAAGCAAAACATCTTGTGTTTTTATGACTGATGTGCTTTTTCCCCCCTAGTTTTATTTCCTGAAAGTGATATCATACTAATCAAAACCACAGAGCGTTTAGAGTGCAAAGTGTGATTGAAAGAGCACCATTAAGGAACTGGCAACTCCCCCTGCCCACCAACCTGCACCCCTGGCACCATATATGCACACACAATCATTCGCTTTTGCTGTTTATTTTTTGCTGTTGTTGTTGATGATTTTTTTTTTTTCCTCTCTTTCTTTTTCCTTCTTTTTTTTTGTCTTCCATTAATGGAAACTGGGTGTGGTCGCTGTAAAGGAGTAGGCAGCATGCCCTATCCCAGGGGTACCCACGTGAAGACTGACACACACACACAAAAACACACACACACAAACACACACGCAGAAAGATCCTTATCAATTTATATATTTGTCAGTCAGTTGCCGAGGCTGCCTTGGTGGCGTATCCCCACGGTGGCGATGCATCGGTCGCTCCGTTGCAACATTCTGGTGACGTGCGGTCAGAAGGGAGTGAGGTGTCTTACACACACAAACACTTACACACGCATTTGCACTCTCGTACACAGTTAGTCAGAGGGGAAGTGTGTGTATATGAGAGTGAGTGCAGCAGACAGCAGGCAGAGTGACTGATACTCAGCCTGCCTCCCAGATGGCCTGCTCAACTCTGCTCCAATCTGATCTCAGAGCCTTTGTTCTGGCATGTTCCATTACGCCGCCGTGACACCAGTAAAGGCAGAGGGGAGAGGAGCTGGTCTCAGATCAGATACAGCTGAATTATACATGTATTTCTCTTTTTTTTCCCCCCTCTGTGATATTCTTGTACTAGCACAGGCACAGTTCTGCGTTTGTCATGTTTTTTCCTGGGGTAGAGGCAAGAGAGGAGTTCATAGACAATAGATAAAAAAGAAAAAAAAAAACTGTTTGAATGTTTGAGTTGAATTTGGCAAAGAAGAAGTAGTAGTGGTTTGAATGTTTAATTAAAAGATATTCCTTCGTGATTTTATTCTTGATATGAATTATAATCGTTTGAGGAGATTAATGCCAGAAAATAAGGTTTGGCTGAAATAAAACATGTCAACTCAGCGGGGACCTCTGACACTCGCAACAAATTTAGACAAGAGACGTGCAATAGCTTGTAAATACTGATCTTTTACAAAATATCAAAAATTCAATGTGATTTTTTTCTCGACAGTGCTGCGCTTACCTGTGATATATTTCTAAGTTTTCCTCTTTCAGTTATAGGGGAACAAACATCTGGAAATATGTTAATTTTTAGATTTTGCTTTTTCTTTTAATGAATTGGTTTAATTTTAAATACACCTAGGCCTTCACTGGCCTTTAGTTGATATGGTTTTACTATGCAAAATGATGACCAAGGGCCCCTTGTTTTTTGTTTTAATTCAAAATCTAACTAATTTGTCATCATGAAAATGACTCAGAATGTCAGTACAGCAATGTGAGAGCTTCCTAGCTGTATAGCGCTGTGAGCAGTGAAACAGTAATAGTCACTGGTCTTCACTTAATGTTGTGTCTTCTACAGCAAATCTTTGCATAAAAAAAAAGGAAAATAAGGAACGAAAATCAATACTCAGAGGATAGTTACGGCTGCATGTCAACAGGCGATTCGAGCCTCTCTCCCCACATCGCGCACCCCACTGTGAACGATGATGCCTAATATACGGTGTGACCTTCAAAATGTCATAAATGTGTTGTGCAATAAAGTGTCAATATTTGTGGTTATATGGAGCAGGATGACTTTTACAGTAATTGGAACAGCCGCATTAAAGCTACGGATCAGTCAACTGATTAAAGACATGCATGCTGGACACTCAGCTAGTGTCTAGGAATGACGTGCACTCGCTCACGTGCGCGCTCCCATCACATGCCGATACACGCACAACGAGAAAAGCAAGGAAGCACGCCCAAAGTTCTGTTTTACCTTTCTTTGTAGTGTGCACTATGTGTGTGCGTGTGTGTGTGTCTGAAATGTGTGAAGCCCATTTATTATTGAAGGGCTGTTATATGCCAGGAGAGCTCACACTCATCCTCTCAGTAGTGTGTCTTCCTCTTACAGGAGCACTATTAACCCTGACACACAAGGACATGTCTGTCTGTGTGTGTGTGTGTGTGTGTGACAGAGAGAGAGATATGCATAGCTTGTGTGTGTGTGTGTGAGTGTGTGTGTGTGTGGTCTGGTGTTTGTCCTGCTTCTAATCTGTGTTTTGGATTTTTTAATTTTAGCCCCATCTGGGGTGGGCAGGTGGGCCAATGTCTGTTACACGATGCGGGGAATCATTGCCAAAAAGGGATCTGTACAGTAGACCACTCAAAATATGTTTATGAGGAGGCAACTATGGCTACAGTATGGTGCAGTCCTGGACCAAGTACTGGGGGAATTGTATTTGTTTTTATTTAATTATTTTCTATTCACAGGACATGTTTAAATGCATTCAAATGAAAATGCAAAATAGTCGGGTGGGGGTGCAGTTGACATGCTCACACAGTACTGAAATTATGCAGGATTTTTTTTTTTTATTTTTTTATTTTTTTTACCTGTGATATGTTACATATCATTTTGTGTTTAGTGTAATTGTCAAATTTCCTTGAAATGTTCGCTATTTTTAAGCGGATTTAGGTAGATATAATGACTTTTTTTTTTTCGTCTTTCTTTTCAAATTCCCAGGTTCCTCAACAGATTTTATTAGTTATCATTTAATTGACATTTTGGGGAGACAATTCCCAGTGTGTGCTTCTGTAAAGGTGGAAATAATGGGCAACCATGTAGAACGCCCCCCCATATAAGATTTGAACCAAGATCCACATCTGCTTTTAAAAACCTCCACCACCCCCCTCACCCCCCGTTCTTTTTCCTTGCTAGTACAGTACACAGAATTAAACAATACAGTTGCCAAGCCCAAGTAGAAGCAGCTGGTATTTAGTATCTGCGCATTGTCACAGATTTACATTTAGGTTGCCTTTCAGTTTCAGTTGTGATAAATAGCCTTCAGCCTGATAGCAGCATTGCTAGATGGAGTTGTGTGTTTAGTGTCAGTGTGGAAGAGGACTTGCTGACTTGGGTCTTTCCATTCTGTAAACCTTATTTGACTCCCCCGACAGAGGAGGGTGGAATGGGGTGGGGAGCGTCAGAAAAGAAAAAGATTAGGCTACTGTTAAAAAATGTTCCTTATTGTGCGCCGCGGTTGCCAAAGTGGGTTGCTCGATTTTGATTCTTTTTTCTTTCTTTTCTGGGCCCCCCTCCCCTTTTCCCTATACGCATACCAAATCATGTCCCAGATTAGAAAATAAATAACGTTTTTAGCTATATTTGTGCGTCTTTGGGTCGCGCACATACCGACATGCTAAACATTGAAAAAGAAATACTGTCGCTCGTGACCACAAAATTCAGAAATTTTCACAGTGCCCAGCTCCTTTGCCTACCAGTACAAATATCACACATGTGGCAACGGTCCCACAAATAAAGACACTTGGAAAATAAAAGAAAGAACCACAATAAAAGAAAGAAATAAAGAATCTTTTACTTTGCTATGAAGTCTGTAAATCTGTCATGACAGTTCCGTGCTGTGTGGGTTGATGTTGAACCTCCCGCAAAGTGACAGCCATCAAATGTTACTGGAACTAGTACAGATATTTTAAGTTTACAGCTTCAAGATACAAAGACACATAAAGTATGTGTCGTATATTCCTTTTTTTTTTTTTGTTTGTTTGTTTCTTTCAAGTTCTTTCCCCGTGTTTTGATCTTAACTGTGTTCCGCGGGCCTTTAAATGCTGCACATCACAGGCTCTTAACTATTAGTACAACAAGGCCAGCGTATACAATCTGATGATGACACCCTCACCTCAGATTATGCTGCTGTCAACAGATTCCCAGGTTGTCATCACTCATCTTTAGATTCATATTCGGAAGGTGATTGTGTTGATAACAGACTGCTGTTGCACTAAACTGTGCATCATCGTTTTTTGGCGTGCGGAGGAAGTGGCGGAGGGCTGGGTCAAAACTGTTATCACCCTATCATATCTCTGACAGCTACCTGTCAAAATCAGGTCGCAGGAGATGCAAGGATATCCTGCGATGCTGACAAAGCCAAATCTAACTCTCTCTTTTTTTTTCTTCTTCTTCTTTCTTTCTGCCTGTCTTATTTTGCATTGTTAATTTTCACTGCAATCCAGCATATGCGTAATAGGAATGATGATGATAGCAAAGGATAAAAAAAGAAAAACAGGAGGAGAAAGGCAGCGGAGGTGGTGGTGTTGAGGGTGTGCGTGCTTGAGTTAAGCGGGCGGAGGGGGGGGGTGTATCTCAGAACCATGGTGTTTCTAAAGAAACTGAAAAGCTTATGAACTGTCAGCGTTCTGTCAGGGAGGAAAATAGCGTGGCCCGTGAACTCGTTTGATGTGTTTGACTTTGTGTGGCGTTTGCACATTTGAGCAAGGGAACCGAGGGACAATGAGAGACAGACAGAGGACAAAGAAAAAAAAATGTGTTGTGTTGTGATGTGTGGAGGGCTGGTTTGAAGTGACACTCAACACACCTTCCATTTGTCTCTCCCTCCTTGTGATGTCTCTGTGTACGCTCCAGATGTTGGGGAGGACTTGGGGAAGGCAGCGGGGAGCATTCAGCCGCCTCTGTCCCAGCATCGTGAGCGGTGTCTAGGCACATCCTCCAAGGATTGCCCGTACTGTGGCAAGTCCTTCCGCACCTCCCATCATCTCAAAGTCCATCTGCGAATACACACAGGTGAGTACATCCGCTGTCACTTCCCTAGCAAAGTGCCTGGCACAGACTGCATTTCTTCCACAATTAAACATTTATTGTACTTCATGCAAAATTTACTTTACTACTTGTACTGACATTTCTTCTGGGGTTAGACTGACATATTGGTTTATGAATATTGGCCTAATCAGATATTGGAGTCAAACTGCCTCTGATATGACGCATATGATGCAAGATTCATTGATTGCATATTAATTTTGTAAAAGAGAATACTGCATTACTTGTTCCTGAAAAAGCCCCAAAGGAAAAAGAAAAAAAAAAGAAAGTACGAACGAAAGAAAAAAGAAAATCCTACAGTACAAAGTACCTCCATCAAAATTAAGTGCACAGATGGTCACAGTTTCTAAATCACAGCATCACAATGTCCTGAAATTAAGCAGTACCATAAAAACCCAGTGATCCCAGTTCAACAGTAACACATACTGCAATTCTCACCTAAGTCATAATCTTGTTTATTCCACAAAATGTAATCCTAGAGATATTTTCTGTGCAGTCTAATCAGCTGTTGCATTGGAACACATTTTCTTCAAATTGACATAAAGCCAAATTAAGAAAACTATTCACAAGTAGGAATATGCGTTTTCCTAACAGTGTCCCTCATTTAGGCTTAAGGCCATTGTTATTCTGTTTTTTTCCTACTCATCATTTCATTGAGCTCTAATTAACACAACAAGGGTTCAGTGTCCTCCAATGACATCACTCAGAGGGCAATTTCACACTCTCTAACTCTCAATAACTTTCAAGGCAAAACAAAGCTGGCCTGTCCACAATTTAGGGATATGCGTGAGATGGTGTGCCTAATAGATTTAGCTTTATTTTTTCAGTCAAGCGTCCTCACCCTCTGAGCTGTGCTCTCTCTACCCGGCCAAACATAGTTGGCAATAAAGACGATGCTGATTCTGACATCTCACCAATCAGCGCTCAGGCAGTTCTGTGATAACCCGTCCCCTGGTTGTTGCTGGGAGTCTGCAGTCAGAGTAATGATGTGGACTGTGGACAGTAGCCAGGGTTCTAACCCTCTGCAAGGTATGAACGCCCCACTGACTATCCAGGTTAAAGTCACAATTAGACTATGCAGAGGACACCTTACAACAAGGACACCTGGTTATAGTCGGTGGGCCTTGTGTGTAAAGTTAGAAACTGCCCACCTCTCAGTTCATCTCAAAGAGAACTAGTGCTTCCCAACTGGAAAAACAGTGTGATATGTTGACACCTTGCCGTCCAAGTGGTGAAAAACACTTAATACTGTTGGGACAGAATATATTTGTGATATATGAAACATAAAGCTGGTTCAGCAACACACCACTCTGTCTTTCATTTTACACCTCAGTACATGAAGGGGACTCTACTTGTTCTGGTGGTACTCAACATTGGCATTGTTCTCTAATTATCTGGTATAGATATACCAAAGGTTACTGGACTGCCCAAAAAAATCTCTGAAAATGGTAAAAAATGCTCATCAGAGTTTCAGAGAGCCCAAGGTAGTGCCTCCAACCTCTTGGTTTTTCAAACTTAGTCCAACTGCCCTGATGTTTTTGTTAGTTTCTTCTGTATACCTTACAGGGAAGCAATTATTAAGTGCCAGTGGAGATGTCAAGGCAAGAATACTCTCAACTGAACGAGGGGAATCCCTTCCAGCTGAGAAAAAAAATAAAAAAATAAATCTGGTTTCTTTTCTTCTCATTTTCCTTCTCTGTCTCATTTCCTTTATTTTCTTCCTTCTCCGTGTACTTAAAAGGCAAAGTGAAGCCCCTCGTGCTTTCCTCAACAAAAGGCACATATTGTACTTTGGATCTGGAATGAAATTAGAGGAAAAGCTTCTGTAGCATTCTAACACATCTGGTGCATACTCACAATAAGATTTTCTATGTTAAATAGCACATCCAGGTCACAGCTAGGCCATCCCCAGCAACACTACAGTAGCCGGTGGTGTTTTTTTGGAGGGCATCTGTTATCTGGTGGTGAGAGAGCTGAGTAGTACTAAGGATACCCATGAGGGCCATATTTTAACATGGAGGAAGTGGAGACCTCAACGCAGGCCTGGCGTTAACTCATTTGGCAACTAGAAGGCTGATCTAATTTCATCCACAGCACATTTTGCAGTTTTTTATTTTATTAGTTCTTTCATATCTCAAAAAATAGAGTAAAATAAAAAGGCTTTATCTGGAGGCCTCTTCAAAAGGAGCAAAAGTGAGTAAGGATGTTGTCTTTTGGAAAGGAATGTATCTTTGGATGTGGGCCTATCTAAGCACAGCTTCACCATAGTCTTTTACACGTGGGGAGGAAAGAAAAAAAAAAAAAAAACTTGATGCATCCCCAACATGTGGCCTTTAAATCATTCCTATAACCTAATCATACCAGCTCCACTGTGACATCCTGATTACATCCACAAGATGACTTTTACAGCGGCTAAAGATCCTCTCTGTGCTCTGGTGACAATGCAGAGAAATTCACTGATGACAGCCGAGCTCTCTCTCATCCTAATGTAATGTGAGTGACACAATGGAGTTGCTTACCAAGCCGGTCGAGGCAGCATTGTGCAACGCAACGCAGAGATTAATGAGCGACTAACACCAGCTTGAAAGGAATGAAGTGAATTTAAATTTCTCCAAAAGTTAAAGAGCTAATGTTACAGTATTAATTTCCTCTTGAACAGTGAGTGGGAAAATATCCATTAGCAAAATTAACCACAGTTTTCTAGGTAGCTAACATTGTGCGGCTGTGGCACTACAGTGTGGGGCCAGAGCTAATGAACACACTGCAGAGGGTGATATTTCATTATACAAATTAATGCTCACATTTTAATGGGAAAGTCACATAATGAATCTAGGCTTCAGTGACAGCAATTAGAGGCCCAGATTGTCCCCTTCTGGACAAGGCACTATTTAGCAGTAAGCAGCTGTGTGTAAAAAATAAAAAGGTCCTCGCTCTTGACAATAGCCACACATAACTTCAGGCAGGGCCGCATAACCAATAAGAGTCCCTGCTCACCTTTAAATCAGGAGAGAGGGAGACAAAGAGAGGGAGAAAGGGAAAGAGGAGAGGCAGGACTTGCCCATGTCACTTAACCTTAACCTAACCTTGTAATCAGGATGAATCAAGAGGGACCTGTGATCTCCCTCTCCATTCCTCTCACTCCTTTGGGCCCCCCCTTCTTCCTTTTGCTCCTATCTTCTACTATCTGTCTCCAGAAACATTTTTCCAGTGCATTTCCTATTTTTTTCTTCTCCACTACCTGTTTCTTCCTCACAGTTTCTGCAATACAGTCACAGTGTTCATTTTAAGATTGCTTATACTATACATTTATGGTGTGATTTCACTTCTATGGCAATTGAACTGTCCTGACAGGATTAGCAGCATTGTCTATTCACCACTAACTTCTTATTAAATGATAGTGTGGCGATATTAGACGTGCATCTATTCCTATAAAAAGACCAACAATTAATTGATGCTTTAAACAAACAATATAACCCGATGTATCTTATTCCTCCGTACCATTAAGCTCTATTGTTGTCCAAAAATTATTAAAAGTATATAATTGAGATAAACTGCTGTACTGTGTGACACACTCACTGTAATATATTTTTATTAAATCTTATTGGTATATCATCAGTGCTGCAAATACGTACTGGAGCACCACATGGGGATTATTTCACAGCTAAAAAAAAAAAAGTCTGAAACAAATGTACTGTTTGCTGTTTTGAGTAACATTTAAAAACAATAAAATAAATAAAAATACAGTACCTGACTGTTTTAGTTTAAAAAAGCATATATGGTGTCACTTTTCCTTCTATTGTGATTGAACTGTTAACCCAGGCAGTACTAGGGGCATGCTCAAGTCACTGCTACTCACTTACTTAAGCAGATATGCTTTAAACAGCTTCCTCTGTTATTCAGGCTCTCTAACACCCCAGCCAGTGTTTTTGAGATTTATTTCCATCCTTCCAGCCAAATACAAATTCATCTTCCAGTATGTCATATCTATTAAGCCATTTTAACAGCCCCTCTGTACAGGTCTGGAGTATTTATCTTTAATTGTTTCTATGGCGCTGTCACAATTCACACAAAGCCAGATGAAATCCCTACATGCAACATAAAGTGCAAACATACTGCGGAGGCGCAGATCTCAGTACGGCAATCAGGAGAAGGATGATTTATAGCCACAAAGGTGTCACTTAGATGTTTATGTGTTCTAGTTGTCAACTCCCAGCTAAGAAAGTCGCAGTGGTGCAGTCCTCATCCAACTACCAGTCGCTGTTTGTCCGGGTCAAAATGTCCACAGTAGTTCAACAAAGTGAAGACAGACCACAGCGAAAAGTTTACCATTCTATTTTTAACTCCCATATAGCAATTTCCTGGTTTTGTGGCGGCAGTGATCTGTCATGTGGCTGGGAGGTTGTGCTGTTTGCACTGATATCAATTAAAAGTGGATTAACGGGTACATAATGACCTTTAGCAGTAAATTGTGTGTAATGTTGCAAGGCAGGATACAGTATATTCCCCAGATGTCACACCAGGCCCCTGACGTATGATGGAGCAGATGTCTTAGCCAGTCCAAATGGCCCTCTAAGACACAAACACACACACACACACACACACATATACACACACAGGCTCAGGCTGACACGCATGCATAAACATGTGTTCACACACATTCCAAATGGTGCACACACACGTACATAAACACAAGGAGATGCAGAAATGCGCATGTCGTCTGTCTCACTTGCTCCAAATATTTAAATGCTTAATTTTAATGGAAAACTGTCGTAAACTGATCACCCTCGGAGGGCATTTTTAGTTATTTTCAGTTTGCCTTGCTCCGTAAACATCAAAGGACAGTGTCAAACATCCAGTCGTCTGAGCTTTTCATTCTTATTTTAGATATGTAGATAGTACATTAATCTCTATTTTCCCCACATGAACATTAACAACCTCTTATAAGGAAAGAAAAGACAGAGGATGAAAAAAAAAAAATATCTGATCAGTCTAATTTCTGTCTAATTTGGCTCCTAGAATATCATTTTTTCCAGTTAGAGGAATTGAGAATGATCATTTGCATCAGGGACGTTTCCTTATTAAATCAGCACTGAGCCTCTGTTCGGCAGCTCACAGGAGAAGCACTTATTGGGTTAAAAGCTCATCTCGTATGGTTTATTTTAAATATACTCTTCACAGCCACTCTGGTGTAAGAGAAAAGATATCAAATCACTGTCTTTCTGTCTATGGGCAGGGTTATCTGTATCTCTGCATGCTCTCTTTCTCTTTTTTTGTTTCTCTCTTATTCTTTCTCTCTACTCTCTTCAACATTTCCACCTTCAATTTTCTTTTGTATAGCCTCCTATTCTTTCCTCTGCTGTATCAATATTCTATTGAGTTGGTGTTTGTGGCCCTTTATTTGAGAACTCTGCAGTAGGTCTGCAGATCGCAGAGTCTTTTTCTGGAATGGTGCCCTCTAAATAATGATAAATTACTTGAGCAGTATGCCATTTGCTAATTATATCCATGATTTACTACACAGCCCGACTTAAATCATTCAAACCAGCCTTGCGTAACAATGCCTTTTTTTCCTTTATAAAATGGTTTCCATGTGTATAATCTAAACATTTTATTGGCATATACGGTATATATAGAATGTGCACACAAAACACTACAACCATCTGATCCCCTTTTATTTCTTTTTCCACAAATCCACCTCTCTTTTCACTCAGCCGTTGTTATCCTTCTATCAGAAAATTCCACTCTGGGAACTTTTTATATGTGTATATTAAAAAAAAAAAAAATCAAGCTTAGCATTTTTCCCTCTCTGTTCATTGTTTAATGAATCCAAATCTGGCTCAGACTCCAAGGCTATTATAATTGCTAGCAGGATGTGTTCTATTTTAACATAAGTATCACTCCAATGGAAGATCCACTTCTGGCAGAATAATGCTGGTGTTATACCATTATCAAGAATATTCATGAATATGGATGTGCAGCATAAATAAACATATGTAAATGTTACACAACAGATTCACCCCTCTTTTACCACAATATAAATCACTTTGATCTGTGTATCCTGTAGTGAATCATATTGTTCTTTATCATAGGGCTTCACTGCAACAAGCATGTGGCTCACATATGTCGCCTGCATTTTTCTTTCCTCCGTTTCTTATTTTTTTGCGTTGTAGTGTATCATCCATATTTTGTTCTCAGTTCACTGCAGTGTGGCAGTGGTCGGGGTGATATTACGCTGTGGCTGATTTATGCTTCTCAAGATAAACTGCAAATAGGGAATGTCCGAGAAATTACACTCTCATCGCCAAGGCACAGGCCTGACAGCAAACAAGGCCAGAACAGAGGCATGATGACCCCACTGCAATCACACACACATTCTTGAACAGATACACAGAAACACGCACCGAGTCCCAGCCGCACCCTCAGCCCCATGCAAACACAGATAGCATCGAGACAGTTTTGTTGTCAGTTGAAAATATTATCTCTTGTAGTGGACTGAAAGCACCATATGGTGAAATGTTTTTATGGTGTTGATGTGAGTGATGGCTCACTTGGCGGAGCTGGATCGACCCATATTCAGATGCCTACTCCACACCCCCACTCCCGTCCCAATACACACACATGCACGCATCAAGTGGAGCTGAGCCGATGACTGGAAGAGAAAAGACATGGAATTGTTGGTTGAATGCACGATCTTATTCATTATCACTTTGTATTGTAGTTTGTTTCATTCTGTGCTCATTTTGCTTACTAAACTGCTAATTCTTTTATTTTAATTTTTTTCATTCTTTCTTCTCTCAACCTTCTTTTAATTTTGAGGAATTAAAAATTAGTCACATTTTGACGCCAACTAAAAGTGAGGCAATTGCGACCCTCTTTTTTTCTGATACATAATGAAATGCATGTCTTTTTGGTGAGTTCATTTGACCTAATTTTCTTTGTTCATGGAGGTTACATGACCCTAGGGTCCACATTCCCTGCTCCAATAAATAGATTTTGATATCCAGTCAATGTAATAATCAGGTTAATTATTCACTGTTTTCTTTGTCTTTGTCTTTCTGTTTCTCTGTCTCTTTCTTGGCTTCTTAGGAGAGAAACCCTACCGTTGCCCTCATTGTGACTATGCTGGCACCCAGTCTGCCAGTCTGAAGTACCACCTGGAGCGCCACCATCGCGAACGTCAAAATGGCTCCACTACGTCAGGCCCATCCTCTGGCCACACCCCTTCTTCTGACCACAAAGAAGATCATGGGAAGACAGGTGGTGGCATCTTTGCCCGACCAGATGTCCTCCGTAATGTTTTCAAGGGCATGCCTCCTAACCTCGACTTCAGGGCAGGACCATTGCTGCCACATCAGTGGGCGTCAGCTGGAATGATGTCTTCACACGACCGAGATCGTGAGCGTGATCGTGGGGACCGCCGTTTTGACTCTTCTTCCTCAACTGAGAACATGAAGTCTGCCGATGGCCCATCCTCCATGGTTTCAACCGCAACTGATAGTGCTGCCAGCTTCTCCGACCTAAGCAGGGCTTACCAAAGCATGATGGGAAATGGAGTCCACTTTCAAGGTTCTCTCCAGGCTTTTATGGACAGCTTTGTCCTCAGCTCCTTGAAGAAAGATATTAAGGACAACCAGAGTCCAGCCCAACTCCAGGCCCAGCGCTACCATGATAATGGAGAGCCCAAAGCCAAGCGGGCAGTCTCAGGTGGCCAGGACAGAGAAGATAAGCCTGAAGCCAAACAGAACTCTGGGACTGGCAAACCTGGGTCCCAGTATGAACCACTTGATCTGTCTGTATCAGTCCGGCCAGAGTCTGCATCCGGATCTCTCCCTGGCTCTTCAGTCACCATTCATGATAATGTGGCATGGCATGGCTGCCTCTTCTGCTCCTTCTCTACTTCCTCATTGGAGCTCATGGCTCTGCACCTCCAGGCCAATCATTTGGGTAAGGCCCAGCTGCAGCGGTCTGATACAGGCAAGGAGCTTCAACGAGAGGGTTCTCCCACCACCTCCACTATTCACTCCTCCAACACCAAGACCTCTGGTGTGGCCCTTGACAAAGATGGGGACCGAGATGGTGATAAAAGCCAAGGAAGCTGGAACAACCACATGGACCCGCCATATAACCCCTTCCAGAGTGACTTCTACAGGAGGTTTGGTGGCTTGTATGATGGATCCCCAAGGGCCAATCAGGGAATTCAAGGGTATATAGCCCAAGCAGAGCAAGGTCTGGACCTACCTAGCCAGGCCTTCGGAGGGGCATCTTCAGCTGCTGATGACCATATCGGTGAGAGGGGCTCCTGTGGAGATGCTGAAGATGACCATGTTGGATCAGATGACGAGGCTATAAAGGCTGGGGTGCACAGTTCCAGTGAGACCCCCTCTACCACTCCCAAGAGACAGCAACAACAGAATAATTCTGATGAAGAGGAAGATGAGGGAGGAGTGGCAGAAGAAGAGGAGGAAAGACATGAGGATGGGCAAATGGACATGGACAGAGAGGAAGGAGGAAGTCCAGCTTCAGACCACCTCCAGAGTCACCCCAAGCTGCTCCAAGATGACTCCTGCCTGCCCCCAAGGAGTGGAGCTGGCTTGGCGACGTCTTCCTCCACCATGGCACCGCTCTCTATGGTTCCCCAACCGCAGAACCAAACTCTGGAGAAGCAGTGGCAGCAAGGCCTGGGCATCCTGCCTCCCGGAGGTCCTCCAGGACTGTTGAAGGCTGAGCAGCAGACCCACCCAGAACAGCAAATGAACATGCTGTCTGTCCTCAGAGCCTACAGCAATGACAACCTCCCTGCATTCAACGGCCTGGGAGGTGGAGCAGGAGGCGCACCTCTAGGGGGCATGAAGAGATCAGATGCACCTGGTGAGTGTGTTTGACCCCTACTAGCACTATAACTGCTGTAAAGCACACACACACACACACACACACACACACACACACATATTTACAGGCAGCTACACCAACAGAAAACCCTGAAAAAGAAAGAGCACAAATTGAAACTTAAATTCAATTTTCCCACCACTGCATACACCTATACACACAAACAAAAAACATATACATTTTTGCCTGACACCCACAAAGGAGTCTCAGACACTCACTAAATGTCTCACGATTGGCTCTGAAGTGATTTCAGCCTTATTTCAAGCAAGTTTAGAAGCTATCAGCTTGGTGACTAGCAACAGATTAATCTTTATTACACGTTTATATTACTGGGAGTGCAGTGCCTCCCTCCCGCTCCACAGCATGGGGGGAATAACCCTGGATGAGTCAGAGCAGGACCTCAGCTCCCTGTGCCATCTCCACCACATGTCTCTTAACTATCTTAGCTCTCATAAAGTCGGCTCCCAAAAGCCCATTACTTTATAAGACTCGTCGATCTATGACCCTGTGAAAAATGAACTGTCAACTTTCATGATTCTGCTAAGGTTATAGCCGCTCCTTGAGACTGAAGAAGGAACTCTTTTTTTCCCTCTTTTTTTTACAATGCTCTTTTGCTTTTTAGTGGTGGTTGCTAGTTGCTAAGTGTCTCCATAGGAAGAAAGTAAAAGGCAGTATTGGTGCTGAGCTTCAAAACACTGACTTATACACACTACAGAGACAGCAAATGTGGAAAAGAGACAGATGACTTCGCTCTGGTGTTAGTAAGAGTCTATTAGTGACAAATCATTCAGATTGAAAATTGAATTAGTTAGCTATTGATCATTTTTAATTAAAATAATACTGATAAGAATCATACATATTTTCCTTTGTTTGAATAGCAAAAGGTTGAAACATGTTACCTATGAAATGCAGAGCACATCTTGAATACATTTAAGCAATGCAGTTTTTTGTATCATCTGACATTTTTATCTGACAAAATCTTATTGTCAAGGAATCAGGCAGTTTAACTATACAATGCTGATTTTATTAAATACAGATATTCCTTTGTGTGTGAAAATGCAAAAATGCCGTACATATTGTTCAGTATAAAACTTTGTAAAACCAAACTATGTAATGTGGGCAGTTCCTTTTGCAACTAGGAATGCTTGACCTTTATAGATAAGGCCTTCTTTGTGAAACAAAGGCCTTTCTTACATGCTCGAGTCAGAGTCAGTAGCATTCTTTGCAATTAAAAAAAAATAAATATCAACCAGAAAAACAAAAAGCATGTTCTTATGTATCTAACTTCCTGGCAGGTCTCTTGGATGGTACAGAAGATAGCATAGAAAAAATATGAATAGCTGCAGGAAACATGCGTAAAAGCAAGATATGTTCTGGTGTGCTTGTATGTGAGTGAGTGGATTGTTGTGCGAAGTGTGACCTTACTTTAGGTGATATTCCCTGCCTAGCTACACTCCCATTCCAGTCAACAGCTATCTGTGTGCCCTGTTACACTGATACACTGTATGTATCAGGTAACACACCGCTGTATCCTATTTTACAAGCGAGGAGTTTATGGCTTCTCTTACTGATGTCAAAAGCTTTACGTTTTCGTATTTGTGTGGTAATGCTAGATTGGTGGGAGGTCTCGTTCTTACCACACACTGCGGAGGCTCAGACTTTTTTCACAAAGTCCAAAGATATGCAAGTAATTAAAATTGAAGCTGTTGACTGCATATAAGTACGAATGTGAGCGTGCTTGTTAGTGTTTATTCTGACTGCACAGTGGAGTCAATATGTATTACTAGTATTATATGCTGTGATATGATGATTACTGCTATTATAGTTTCCCCTGCAACAAGTATAGTGTTTTTTTTATATTACATCCATCAAAATGAATAAAAACATAACAACTACACTTACTGTTACAACAACTATTATTACCACTTACACAGTTACTATTGAATACACTGTTACCAGTTGCTTAAATTACAACCATGACTCACTCAAAGGCTAATAGTTGTTTTCTGATCCTGTACTAAAAACACAAAAATACTCCATTACAAGTATAAGTCCCATATTTAGACCATAGCAGGCCAAGATGGAGCTTTCTGATGTGTAGTTTATTCTATAAGAAGGCCTAATATATAATCAAATGATGACAGATTTTTAAGAATTAAAATGTAATACGCAAAATTAGCTATACCAAATATATGTGACAGGCTACCAAATGTTATTGTCTGTGAAATATGGTAAAATAGAAGTACAAACAAGAAGAACATTAGTATTTTAAAACTGTAGCAATGTTCAGTTCTACGGTACATTTTTAACACTGTTGTTGATACTCCCCTGACTTCCATACCACTATTATGACTGTTCGTGCTGCTTCAGCTTCACGCACTACAGATGCGGGAATAGATCAGAAATAATAGACGTACTTGTTTCATAGTAAAATGCACTATTACAGTCCTTCTTTACGTGTCCACTTGTAAACCCCTCGTGCGGGGGGTCACCGGCAGCTTGAAGAGCAAGAGCCACACATTCCACCGTTATTTGGCGGGTGGAGAAGGTGGGGGTAGCAAAGACGTCTGTAAAACTCAATTCAGACCTGGCAAAATGTGATTATCTGGAGTGGGTTTGCATTAGGTTTGTATGCAAATACAGCATAAATCATTAATATCGAAATTCTCCCCTGGATCTGCGGGAGCTGTTGTAGGGCATGCGTTGCACGTCTGGAGTGGCCATCTCTTCATTAGTATGCCCGGAGGAGGGGAAAAGGGGTACAATGCACATGAATCTACTAGCACTCTGACACATAACAGATACACACATATAAGGATCTACACACACATATTCACATGTCTGTAGTATTAAACCACACCTCCCTAAACTGGCCCAGGAATTGGATTTATCAATAAATGTCATTAACAGCAGCAGTGGCCCTGAGGTCTCTGTAATCAGACAAGGTATCTGGTTACTGAGGTACAGTACGCTGTGTAAAGATTGATATGAACCCACACCATTTGCTGTACTGTAGATGTGCTTAACACAATCAATACTTGGCTGCAGTGGAGACCTATCTATAGCCATGCATTATCAAACATGAAGTATTACATTATTCAAACAGTGCTGTACATGCCATGACTGCTTGCGAACATTGCTCCTCACATCGTATTACTTACATTACCTCAACCCCCTTGTTCATTTAATATATTAAATGTGGACTAGGACTTTAGAAGGTTGAGACTGACAAGCTGGAGAGGAAGTGTTGATATAAGTGTAGGACTTGGATGAACGTTTGGAGGATGTCAGAGAAGAAAATGGCAGAGCTCATAGCTGAGCACCTCTTACAAGTCGAGAAGTAGGCTACAAAAACAGTGAGTTAGTGGAAAAAGAAGAGAGGAAAATGCCGTATATTCTCACTTACACCCATCACTCCCAATTTACAAGTACTCTCACATTGTGCTCTATAGTTCTCTTCATAAGTGTTGTGGCTTGTTTGTGTTTGTTGCTGATAGAAACTCTCTGAGAGAGTCACCTCCTACACACACATTAGATGACACTAAAGAGGCTGTTATTATTATTATTATCAGTAGTAGTAGTAAGTGGACCCTGAAATTTAGTCAAAAACATACACTATGCCGTCTTCAACTGAAGCCTTCCAAGTAAGAACTGAGATAATTTAAGCTGAAAATAGCATACTTTATCTTGCTCCTATCTACTCCACCTCTTACTTCTGTTGTGACTCTTTGCAACAACAGCTCACAACTCTACAGGGAGAAATCCATCATAAATACCATGCTTTCCATAAACACTGGCTTCGGTGAAAAGGAATACAGTTTAGTTACAAGCTCTTTAAAGAGAGAATGTGAGTAGAATTACAACACAACCATTTCCCTCACTAAATCATAAACTTATCAAATACTCAGCTTTCAAATTTATCTTTCATCATTTATTTACCTCATGAATACCTGCAGCAAAGACTTGATCTGTAACCACTTCAGAAATACTACGTTGAGTGGTAGCTACCAAACTCATCAATATTAACATTAACTAAGTTAGCCTCGTTCATTATTACAACCTGTAGCTACAACCTGACAATAAGATCAGCAGCAGGAGATCCGAAATGCCGATTACTGTTTCATATTTGTTGTTCTTGCACACTGAATTATCAGCTGGAACGTACTCATTTTTAGACCTGACTTTTCACTGCTTGATCCAAATCATGGAGTTCCTGATTTTGAACTGAAAAGGTTAATGACGGAAAGCTAATAGTTTACATTTCTTTTTTGTGAGGCGTTCAAGAAAATATAGAAAAACTTAAAATGGTACAGAGCAATGTTAGCATTTGTGTTGTTTTTTTTGCACCCAGAGTCAAGTAAAAGGGAAAATCTCTTAACAAAAGCTGCAAAACTATGATGTTGAGACTGAGACACACTGAAGGGATGATTGACATGTAGATATCATTAGCAATAATGAATCACATAATAGCCTTTCCCCCCATTTTGCAGACACAAAGCAAACATTTTAGATTTAATGTTGAGGCTTGTGCCAAAAGTGTAAAAATCTGTATATAGAAATTAGCAAGTATATATTTTATTTTAGTTTCTCTCTATGCAGCCTTGTCATGACATTAGTCACCTTTTATCTACCGTTGTGCGTATTTGTGTGTGTGACTGTAAGTGTGTTTGTGTGTGGTGCATCAGGTGACAGCTTTCTACATCTTTAATGCAACGCTGGTTGGATTTGAACCTACAAGTGTTGAGGTCACATTGGAACACTATGCAGGAGACATATGAACCGTACATTTCATGGAGGGGAAAGCAAACATTCGAACACATGCACATCGAGGAAAGTGTAGGCCATCATAACAAAAAGGCTAATACGTGTGTCTGTGTGTGTGGATACGGCTGTGTTTGTGTGTGTGTATGTAACAGGTTCTGTAATGCACTGATGGTAATTAAAAACATATGGCGGGATTGGTGGACTCGCTGTGAAGCGCA